AGAGGTCAGATATGAAGCTTGTTGGCACGAGTTAGAGGTCAGATATGAAGCTTGTTGGTACGAGTGAGAGGTCAGATATGAAGCTTGTTGGCACAAGTTAGAGGTCAGATATGAAGCTTGTTGGTACGAGTGAGAGGTCAGATATGAAGCTTGTTGGTGCGAGTGAGAGGTCAGATATGAAGCTTGTTGGTACGAGTTAGAGGTCAGATTTGAAGCTTGTTGGTGTGAGTGGGAGGTCAGATATGAAGCTTGTTGGCACGAGTTAGAGGTCAGATTTGAAGCTTGTTGGTGTGAGTGGGAGGTCAGATATGAAGCTTGTGGGACAAAGAAACAACACATTCATTAACTTTAATGTGGGGTGCCATGCGATGCATTTACAGCGTTCACTTCATTTATTCTTAGTAACCTCCTGGTTAGGGTTGTGGTGGTTTACATAAAACTAATAGTTTGTTTATATTTTACGAAATAGAACCAATTAAACTGGTTAGAAAATATCACGAGCAGATACAAACAAAAATAAGAACAGAAATCACAGACCATGATTACCCAACAGTGCTGCCATTTTTTACCACTGGATTTAATTATTCTGGTTTAGGCCTCACACACTTCAGGTTTAAATGTGAATACAGATATGAATACCTTTTAGCATGAAACAGATGGTGGTATTGCTTTACACCCCAGACACACCAACAACAGAGACTTTGTGCAGTGGATGCTGTCTCACATGCTGCGGTAAAACAATGACTACATTTGGAGGAAATTAATAATAGACCAAATCCTAAATAACCCCCTATGACACATTCACCAAGATGCCAGTTTATTATAAATACCGCCTTGTCACTTTGTAGTTCTATAATTACTGAAGCTCATCTGTTTTTCAACCCCCTCTATACCATCTATCATTGGAAAGGGACCACCATAGGACCGTGGCAAACCAGACGGTCCACTGACCATATCAGCATCCTCTCACCATTAATCAGAATCTGCACCAATGGATTTTCATGGACTCATGAGGGACTGGAGTGGCCTGAGTGACCCCTCACACAATCGTCAGTCATTTGGTGTGGCTAAAATGGCCGTGCTCCCTGTGCATTTACATCGGCAGCCATTTTTTTCCCACCTCGCGTCACCCAAATGTATACTAGAAGGCTTTCCTGATCCAAGGATACTGCTGGTTGCCATGGTTTCCCTGGTGTCTCCTGGCTAGTTCACATGTATAATCGTTATTTCATTGTGGATAATATGTATAGCAGCACCAATTTCATCTCTATATGGTTGAAAGAGCTAATATTCACATGCAAGAGAACAATGTAATTATGTTCAGGCTAATTATTTTTGCTACAGATACTTTCAGAGATGTTTCTTCAAACATTATTTGTTTTATTTTACAATCCCAGTTTATTTTTAATAGTATATTGCTACAATTTTATTTCCATCCTTTTTTTCAAGAAAAAAAAAACAAACACAAAGATGGATAATGTTCCATAGTGCACTCATAGAAAAGGGTTCTTCAAGGGTTGGTTAATGGTTTAACCTGTCTAAGAGAGTTTTAGAAACACCTTCTGTAACATAGTTCTACAGAGAATCATTAAGAGTTTCCCCTGACGAAATAAATCCCTTTGAGGTTCTAGATTCAGCACTTTATTTTTCTAAAGGTGCTGGAAAATGAAGTCCTGAGTCCTGCTGGGAGTTGCCACATTGCTGCACTTCTCATTTGCATAATGATAAAATGCGCTCAACATTTCCGTCTCATTAAACTTTCTCACATCACCTGAGCCCACCCAATTCACTTCACCAATAGCTGCTCCACCTCCCGTTCTTCCTCCGAGACACGAAGCCACTCAACCACATCTTTTTGAACTGCTGCTCATGCTGCATCTCTCTCAGGGGAACACACTCGGAGGAAAGTGTTATCTGCCCTCTTCTGCATACATGAGTTACAGAGACCTATGATTGGCTAATGTCACCGTGATTGAGACAGGAGAGAGAGTAATGCCATCCCTCCTACCCAGACATCACAGTCAATTTTGCTCTCATGGCTCCTGGCTACAGATGGCTGTGGAATCGTCACATTCTCCTAACAATATGGCGAACGCTTTTCTGTTCACTCGGGAGCTTGTAAATCTCCACCTTGGACTGAAAATGAGTGAGTTCTTAATCCATAGTTAATGTTTAAACACAAGTTATCATTTAGCCCTCACTCGAAGGTAGGAGTGGACCAGGATTAGGAGTAAGCAAAGCTTTAAACACATCCTGCTCATTTATTACTGCTGAGCATTAGCCATAAGGGAGAGAATCCAAATCTCTCCACCTGTACCAGGATAAGAGGACAAAGTTTTAGCAAATAGCAGACAGACAAGCCATTGGCTAGCCACCTCTCACCACACAGAGAAATGGTTCAACCCTGGCCACTCCTGGTTCAACTCCTTGCTTAAGGAACGTGTAAATGAATGAACATACAGCATATAACGATGGTTCATCCTGTCATCCGACGTCCAGCTGTACAAAGCAGGGCTGGAATTAATAGCCAGTCCCTTGGCTGCAAAATTATCCGATTCATTATTTAGTTCATAGTCTATGAACTCAGCCCTCCACTGCTTAGCATAATACTTTTATGTGCTTAATTGCTAACCAGTGTTGGTTAAAAGAGCACTTAGTATTTACATAAACACACACGAATACTGGATAAATCAACAGCCCACATCTACTGTATACATGCATCCTGAAGCCTCTTCTGTACCTAAAGCAATTTGCCAAAGGAAAATGCAAATGAATGCAAGGCTTAAATGCATAATGCATGCAGCACATGTACAATTCAGGTCTGTTGGACCGTCTCTGGAGCGTAAACCGGATCACTTTGCGTTCACGTTTCACCTCTCAGAGACCCGATGATCTAATGTGCTCATTTAAAATGCAAGTGTAGGTGTATGTAGTAAAATCCATCATGATATACAAATACCCTGTACACTTTGTGTGCTAATGTGCTAATACTGTAGAGGACACTGAAAGACCTCATTTATCAAGCTGGATACAAATGAATTTATTCTTGAACCGTTCACAGGAGCATTTACACAAGGAACGTGGTATTCATGGAAATCAGAAAATTTGGAAAAAAAACCAGAGCTGTGTAAATTTACGTATAAGAAGACTTGCTAATTTAACCTCAACTGATCGACTACAAATCATTAGGTAGGTTATTGCAAACTTTTTATACACTGACAAGTTTAAATTGCATATTTATTTCCACATGAGTTTAGTGAAAATATTCGGAATCTCAGTCATATGACTGCCTTGAAAGAAAGCAATCCATAACACTAAATGTAAATCAGCTGTGCTATGAACAGGCTTGGGAATTTAACAGCAAGCCTACAGCTGAGCAGTTGATGGTTTTTTTCCTCAGTTTGAACTCACAAC